CTCCACTTCGTACACCCGGCTTGGGCTGCGCCTCCTTTCTTGCAACGGTCGGCCTCCCATTGGCTCCGCCCTCCAAGCGCCGCGCTCCATCGACTCGCTCTGCTGCAGCTCTCGTCCGCGTTCTCCAGACGACGTCGTCGCACCAGCTGCCGCAGCCACGGCTGGCAGGTCTCCTTGGCTATAACGCCTGGTCGGCGGTCGGTAGACCTCACCTCTTCCCGACTCCACGGTGACGGAAGTCCTGCCTGTCTCAGGCTCCGCCGAGCCCTCGCTCGTCTTTTCCCCTTGCATTGCCGCTAGCGCGGGGCTCACTTCCTTCGTCTTGGGCTGATATACTCCGCCTGAGCGTAGCTCCATGTCCTACGCGGCTCCTTGTTTCTTTGTCAAAAAATCCCCCATTTCTCCGACTGGCTCCTACATCGGGCTGGCCTAACTAGGAAGATAGCTGAGGCACAAAATTCCACTCAAGAAGGAAACAAAGTAACAAGCACAGAACTGATAGGCCTAAACAGCTATATTGAATGAGACCCCTGCCTAGCCCTAAGGCGACGAGCAGTGCCACACGGGATGCTCGATGCCTGCCCTCTGGCCTGTCTCATCAAGCAGGATATGTACAAGCAAACAGATTACACGGTCACCAGCCAACGCCATTTACAAAGACGCATCTCCACCGTGCGCTTCCCTCTCAAACCCTCGCGAGGCCCACTCTGCCAGCTGTCCTTGACTCTTCCGCTCATGCGGTTCGTGCGCATGCTCGTTTGCTCCTCCACGCCTTCACCACGCCTTACCACTCCTGCATGCCGAGCCATCATCCCTCCTTCGGCGTCCACACCCGCCGTAGAACTCCTCGGCTCTAATTCCCTGGATCTGCTACACCCCCAATTCCGCTACACCGCTCCTGTTACGCAAATCACTGAATCGATATTCCGTGAGAAGTGTGAGACTCCGCGAGCGTCATATTTCTTAGCAGCACGCTTTACGCCATCAAGGACTCACTGTAGTACTGAGCCCGGGCGTCTTCGGTGTCGTTCACCTGTTTGGGATAGGAGCCGTCGAAGTAGTGGTAGATCTGCGCAGTTTGTAAGAGGAGCTCTAGCTCAAACATTGAGAAAACTTGCTTGCGCAGAATTGATGACTTCATCACTTGGATGGGGGGCTGTTGGTGTTGAGTTGTTTGTATTGAGGGAGAAGATATGCGGGGCGGTTTCGCGGTCGTTTGTGGCCGGTTGAACACGTTGAGCGGGTTGCGAATAGGTTCCCGTGTCACCATTCCGCAACGCTTGGATATCTTTCTCCATTGTTGTCAGTCGTTGAAATATTTGCTCCAGTGTGACGGTGCTGATCGTAGTTATCGCCTCGTTTGTTGCAACCGGGTTGGTTTGTCCTTCAGCCGTTAAATTTGGTCGGCCTCCGGATTCTTTGGCCATCTTGACTTTGGTGCGTGTGCCGCTTGCCAACTTTTGGTTTTACGGAAGTAGAGATACGAAGAATCCCTGAGTTGCTCTCATATCATGTTAGAATCCTAAACAGGACTTAGCCAGGTATCGGCTCAGGGTTGTTCGTAGGTAGTGTTGCAGCGGAAGTATTGACCTGAGGTCAGAGTGAATGTAAATGACAGATGATGAAAGCATGCATACATCAAGTTGATATTGTAAATAGAAAAGGAACGCGAAACGACCTAGACTAGCCATGTACTCTAAGGGGTACATTCCCTTATTACAGCGAATTTCAAACCGTGCGACACGGGAACCAATTTCCAACATGTTCCCGCCTTTTTCAGTTCAAATGTTTGTGCCTGCATCAGTCTTGATCTGACGCTTGCTGGTATGGCTTCGACTCTTCTGACTCCTCGACTTCGTACTCGGTAGAGTCGGCCCCTGCAGTGTACAGAAATGCATTCTCATAAAATTTCATATCTCAACACTTTTGAGGCACCTCAAGGGTCCGCTATTACCACGCCATAAGGGTACACATTGTAAGGTATTAAAATTTCTTTCTGTATTCGCACTTTAGCGAGTACATCCCGAGGGTCACGCGATGAACCTGTTCGGCCTATTTTGTCGCACTCCAGAGTCGCCTCCGCACCAATCGCATCCATCACCGAGCCATCTTCGCCCGACCTCCCTGCCTAGCTAGTCGTGCTATCCTCGTTTTATCGTCATTCAGTAATCGACCATTTTTTTTATTCGTTATTCTGCGCACTCTGCAAGTTCATTCATAATACCTGGTGTCAGGGCTACTTTTCTAGCCTACCCCGCTTTTTTTAGTGTATTACCCCCGAGGGGGGGGGGGGAGGAGTCGATGAAGGATGTCCTAGGGTCCAGGAGTTGCGTAGGCCGGCCAAGAGAACGGGTTAGTTGCTCTTCGCGGCCATGGATTCATCGTGCACTCCTCGACACTGTCGGATCTTTTCTTCGAACGGTCGCGATCGAATGTGACCTTGTCAGACTTTTATGATATAGTCTATCTAGGCTGTAGTAAGGTAGATACAATAGGGTACAACACTTCTAGGTTTCCTACTTGTACCCACTTGTTTCCTAGTCATTTCATTCCTCGCTCGTATTCTCACATGGTATCAGAGCAGGTTCCCTAATGGGACCGTTTTCCTTAGGGCCCACCGTATCAAAATTTTTATTTTCCTGCCCTGCCAGAAGCGCGCTTTGCGCTCTGCCCTTAGCCTCGTCGCGCTCTTAGCGGCCTGCCCTTCCGTCGCGGCCCTTAGCGGCCCGCCTTGCTGTCGCGGCCCGTAGCGGCCTGCCGTCGCGGCCCTTAGCGGCCCGTCGTCGCGGCCCTTAGCGGCCCGTCCGCCTTCGCGGCCCTTCGCGGCCGACCTGCCCCGTCGTCGCGGCCCGCCTGCACGTCGGTGCGGCCCGCCCTGCTGCTCGTCGCGGCTCGCCCCTGCTCGTCGCGGCCCGCCTGCATGTCGGTGTGGCCCGCCCTGCTGCTCGTCGCGGCCCGCCCCTGCTCGTCACGGCCCGCCTGCACGTCGTTGCGGCCCGCCCTGCTGCTCGTCGCGGCCCGCCCCTGCTCGTCGCGGCCCGCCTGCACGTCGTTGCGGCCCGCCCTGCTGCTCGTCGCGGCCCGTCCAGTCGTCGCGGCCCGCCTGCTCGTCGTCGCGGCCCCTGCCCTGCCGCCTCACGTCGCCGCCCCTTCTCCCGCAGCGGCTGTTGCGACCCCTCTGCCCTGCCGCAGCTGTCGTCGCCCTTGCTGCCGCAGTAGCGGCACTTCTGCCGCCGTTGGGCCTAAAGCCGTCGGTGTGACTGCGGCCGTCGTCGCCGATGCGGCCCCTGCTGTCCCAGATCTGCCCTGCCGCCTTGTCGCGGCCCCTCCGTGTGGCGGCCCCCTACCCTGCCGACGCGCCCCGGCCCTGCCCCACCAGTGTCGGACCTCTCCTCTCGCCACTGGTAAGCGCACCGCCGCTCCCGCGCGCTGCTGCACCCGCGCCGCCCTGCCGAGCCGCGCCGCCCTGCCGAGCCGCGTCGCCCTGCCGAGTCGCGCTACTACGGCTTCTGCTGCTGCTAGGCCACTGCTGCTGCTCCTGCTGTTATGGCTGCCCCCAATGTTCTTACCTTTGATGCTGAGGGTCGAGCAGTCGATTTCGAGGGCTGGGTCAATGATCTGCAGCTTTTCCTACAGTGCGATTCTAGGGACGGTGTCTCGCTGTTCGGTCACACGTCCGGCGTCTCTGTTGCACCTGCTGCCGATGCTGATAGTACAGTTCGCTCGCAGTGGACCACGCGCGATGCTGCTGCCCGTCTTGCTGGCCGTAGTCACCTGCCGTCTGCTGAGCGCGCGCACTTTAGCCAGTACAAGACCGCTAAGACTCTGTACGACGCTGTTGTTGCACGCTACTCCTCCCCTGCTACTGCTGCCCTTAGCCGCCTCATGCTGCCGTACCTGTTCCCTGACCTAGCCGCTTTTGCCACAGTCGCTGACCTCATTACGCACCTCCGCACTAGTGACACTCGCTACCGCGCTGCGCTTCCTGCTGAGTTTTGCGCCAAGAACCCCCCCCCCTATGTACATCACCCTCTACTACCTGGTCACCCGGCTTCCTGACTCCCTTCGTTCGGTCAGGGACCACTTCCTCTCCCTTTGCCCCACCACACTCACCGTTGATCTCCTTGAGGAGCGGCCCCTTGCAGCTGAGGAATGCCGTTCTCTAGCTGGGTCTGAAGCTTGGTGGGTTCCGTGATCGGTATCCAACACGTCAGATGGGAAAATCCGGGTGCGCCAATAGTCAACGAGCAGAGACTGTGCACGCACTCGGATTGGTGTGTGACCTAGCCGTGTGGGGGCCTGGACAAGCTTATCCATCTGCCAACGACCACTTCGCAGCGACGGCGGTGGCAACGTTCAGACATCTAGCGTCACGACCTGAGGTTACATCGCGCTCGCACCAGGTGGTTAGCGAGGTGCGTCACGCACCTGCGCATCGAGCTATGAAGGGATCACGTAACCGCCTCAGCACACGCCGCGCCATAGGGTAAGTACCTTGATAGGGCGCGACGCGGTGTACTACCCTCGAACGCCGCGCGCATGCTGATGCTCCGACGCTCGAGAATCGTGCATGGCGGAGCGAACTATTCGCGCGCGTTTCGCCCCACGCGCACACTAATGTGTCGTAAACGGAGTCGATCGGGTGTCATCGGCATCGAGGCAAAACTATCGATTAAATGACGACAGGAAGTGTGTTCCTGAACGTATAAAGCCAAGACCAAAACCAGATTGCTAAGGGGTATCTTGCGGGTGCATGGAATAAAGTGTGGAGTGTGTATCATTTGTGTCCGTGTCCGCGCTATTGTGTGTTTCACAACCAAGAGCAGCACACTCCAATTTCCATAACCGTTATGACCATTAACACCCTCCAATTTCCATAACGATATGACCAATAATGATAGTGCAGTTTCGCTTTGAAGCATCACATCGGTACACACTGACGCATGTTCTTAGAATCCTTCCCGGCCCAGACTGTCGGCAACAAACACAACGGCCCACGTCTACGCTTCGTCTGCACCTCCATCGTTGCTTGTGGACGGCGCAATATCGCCGTCCGTGTCGTCGTCGCTGTTGCCAACATCCTCCGCGACGGGGACCTCGTCCGGAAAATGCTCCGCGTGGTATCCACGCGGGGTGTAGTCCTGCCTGATCAGGCGGGGGGTACGGGGGATTGTGGCTTCCTGATGTGCGAGTTCCGCGCGGTTCACCTGACGCCAAACCAGCCCGTTCGCGTCGACGCGGCGGTATTCCGGTCCCGCAACCGGACGCTCACGCTCCCACCAGGCGCGCATGCCCAGCGCGTGGGCGAGGCTGCTTACGGACATGCCGCCAGGCCCTCCAACCCATCCACGGACGTAGGGCAGTAGCGCCTCGGGAAGAGGGGCCCCGTTCTCACCGAAGAGAACACGAACGTCCTGCGCGTACATGTGGTCGTACGGGCCGCCTTCCACCTGCGCATTGCACGATGACAAGCGTTAACACCCCCAGGTTAAACTACATATTAGCGGACCATCAACATATGCACACAAAGCTCGGTTACTCACCACCCAGCCCATGGCGTGCGCCCAATGCATGGTAGTCCATTCACACAGGCGGGCGCGAGAGGTCTTCCCACCCCGAAGCCAGCGTGTTGACCTCGGTGTGGTCCTTGATGGCTTCGAGAAACCGCCTGCACTCAAGCTGGAATTCCTCATCGTCACGGTAGTCGTTGAACGTCGCGTTAATCAGCATACCCTCGAACCAAGGTATCTCGGAAGTCATAGGCAAGCCCCGACGGGAGCGGTACTCCTGCCGGGACCTAACGCGGACCACTCGAGCACTGCTGCGATGGCGATACGCAAGGTGTGCAGCACCATCGATGAAAGCCCTTGGAGTTGGTGTTTCCTGGCGGACACGACTCTCGGTGAGGACGTGCTGCATGCCAGCAAAGCAGACCACAGGATGGGTCTTGAGGAGCGTTTCCACAGTGCATTTACCGCTGTATGTCTGCGGCGCCGCCATGAGTTAGAGCGAGAGTAAACTATAGAGATAGTCTGGATCGGATGAAGAAAACGAGTGAGCTCTTGCTATGTCTGTTTGAGCTTTATTTACGAGTGGAATTGTAGGTGGCTATCTTGAGCAGGCATCTCGTGTCGCAGTGGTTGAACATCAAACCCGAATCGCATGTTTCACACACATCAGCGGGATCACATTTGGACCCTTAACGAGTCACGCTCAGCTCCGAAGTCGCGCATGTCTACGTGATGATGTCCAAAACATCTGCTATTTGAACCTATCAAAAACAAACAGTATTGACATTTGGCGAGGTAAATGGTCACAGCGCAGGAGGTGTGATTACGCCGAGGGTTTTGTGAGGTGACGAGGTCATGTGTTTCCTGAAGCCGAGCCGAGACCCGAAGCTGTTCAAACACGTTCCGTGACACCTGTATGAGAAGCAAAAGCGCCTGGCGCCAATCCCCTAACTTCCGAAACCCGCCATTAATTTAGCTAAACGTGCATCCATGACGCGCTCTTGTCATGCCCTGTGTGGTGCGAACGCGACCTCCGATTTTATCGTAGATGCGCTGAATATAACGGTTTGTCGCAGTACGGAACGGTTGATACGGCTAGTGACATGGTTTGCGCGGTCATGGTTGCAACGCTCGGGCACAACCGACCAACACTTCAGGTGACACGATAAAATTTCGCTTGATAGCATCCGAAGCCAACTCGTTACAAAGAATCCCGTTGGACGAATAAATGTGCACGAATGACCGACAATCGATCAAACGAGGGAATGACCACTGTGTATTGCGTGATTGATGTGAGATTTTAAACCACTGTGTAGCACGGATGTTGATGATATGGGCCACATCACGCTACTCAACACCGGCTTGCACCGTTCCTACATTCAATGCACGCATACATAGTTAGGCACACATCTATGACACCATACGAGGTCAGATCGCAAGACCCTAAAATAGTCAAGACCGTTGGCCTTTGGTGAATGGACAGGCCGCAATAAGCGGCTGATGGTATCGTTATACGATCGGCCCGTACATTCGCCTGTAATGCCCGAAACGATCGTATTTCTGGCCTGGCAGATAGTGATGCTGGCGTTAAGTTAGCCCACTTCCGGCGGGAAGGTGTGACGAACCGCGGAGCATCTAGTCGAACTCCAGTTCTGAACATCACAGCTCCAATGGCTGGCTCCGATATCTGCGCTAGCGGGTCGACGGTGATGGTGATGGATCAGTCGCACTATGGAGCGCATAGGAACATCTCTAGCGTCATAGGCAAGGTCGTCACGGGTCGTGTGTACAGTTTGACAGTCAGATGCTTCTCACGTAAGCATGGACGAACTACCGATACCAGCCCAACGTTGGGCGTGCGGATACTGTGTCGAAACATTTGCGGCATACTCGGCACGAGAGAGTCACGAGCGCACGAACCCGCCGTGTATAGCTGAGCGCCAACGACGCGTTAACGCTGGCGAGACGAGTGGCCGGACATGCGAAGCCAGCAGAGCCGCCTCCCAGACATCTATGCCTATTCGTGGAAACCGTGACGAGCAGCCAAGTGCTCTACCCGCCACCTCTCCTGCTTCAGAGAACGTACCAGCACGCCAGGAACATGAAGGCGTTGGCGCGGAACCCGCAGCGACAAGAGAGACAACCGCAAGCGCAAGATCAAGCAACGACAGTGCAGATTCTGCCGCCGAACGTGATCCTTTGAGGGATCATCGCCGTGCCCGAGTCCCTTTCGACACAGAGTTTGCGATATGGCGCCTTGTTATGGGCGCGAACAACAGGCGCGGCATGCTGGGTGTGGACGCCGCGCTGCTGATGAGGATCCTTGCGGTGCGGGGTCTCAACCTAGCAGCCGTCCGACATTGGCGCTCAAAGCGTGCCATAGAGCGATACGGCCTGAAATTACTTATGGGTTCACGCAAATACAGCACATCTACGATCACGGTGCCAGATTGGCCGACCCCCTTCACCGTGCAGCACACCAATATTTGCGCGGTAAGTTGGTTGTCATTGTCCGTGCCTTGCTCTCCTTTCTAGCAATGTTCTGGATCCGTGACGCCGTGTGATTATCTATGCAGGCAATTGACGAGCTCTGGAGAAATCCGGACAATGCTGAAGGTTTTGTGCTTCGTCCGGACGACCCTGCACCACCTTATGGCCCCGGACACAAATACGTGGACCCGAAAACGGGCACCATGTGGGGAATGGCGCAGGTACGAAAGTCTTACGGCCCGTTTGTCAATTTCCGTTTTTGATTTCCTGCATGCTCTTTACATTGCATCTTCGGGCAGGCATGGCACTGTCACACGTATATCCAGTGCCACACTGTCTTGCGCCCTCGCTCCACGACGCTCCCCCTGCCCTATTCCCATCCCCCTCTGCTGTCGCTGATGAGGAAGCGTGAACCACACCTCCCCTGACCATGAGCAGGAGGGGTGGTTCACACCTCCCCTGACCATGAGCAGGAGGGGTGGTTCACACCTCCCCTGACCATGAGCAGGAGGGGTGGTTCACACCTCCCCTGACCATGAGCAGGAGGGGTGGTTCACACCTCCCCTGACCATGAGCAGGAGGGGTGGTTCACACCTCCCCTGACCATGAGCAGGAGGGGTGGTTCACACCTCCCCTGACCATGAGCAGGAGGGGTGGTTCACACCTCCCCTGACCATGAGCAGGAGGTGTGGTTCACACCTCCCCTGACCATGAGCAGGAGGGGTGGTTCACACCTCCCCTGACCATGAGCAGGAGGGGTGGTTCACACCTCCCCTGACCATGAGCAGGAGGGGTGGTTCACACCTCCCCTGACCATGAGCAGGAGGGGTGGTTCACACCTCCCCTGACCATGAGCAGGAGGTGTGGTTCACACCTCACGCTGTCCTTCTCTCATACCCTCCCCCTATACCTGCACCAGCATGGCATGATGAGCAGAGTGGCGGTGCATAAACCACTCAGCGCGGGGACTACACACCACCTGCGCCCTCGCACATACTCAAACTCTAAACTACTCCACTCCCCCCACCCCCTTTAATAAGAAAACAGGCGCGGCATCAAGCACAGACGTGAGGCGCCACGACGCCCTTGGCTTGTCTACGATTGCACTCTCCTTTTGCACTATGCTGATGCCCCCCACTCACCACAGATCCACGGAATCTGAGTGGCGTATTCGCCACGTCAACCACAACAATCGTGGTCACTGACGACCAGCGCCCCCTCACTCACACTCCCTATGCCCCGTGCGCAAACCCTTTCACTACGTTCAGAGCCTGCTGAAGAACGGGGAGCTCATATGCCCCATCATCTTGGCGTCTGACGTAACAACGCTCAGCGGGCACGGGCGGACACGGGTGTGGCCTGTTTATCTGTCCATCGCCAACATCCCGTACTCACTGCGTTGGCGCGAGTCGGGAAAGGTGTTGCTGGCGTTGCTCCCTATGCCAGACAGCAAAATGAGTCCGATGCAGAAGGTGCAGTTGTTTCAAAAGGCGATGGCAACAGTGTTACACGACATCTTCCAGAAGTCAAAATGGTAAGTGTTTACCTATATGGCGTACCAGACGGATGAGTAGCAGACCAGGCGCAATCAGTCAGGAACGGGGGCGGTTTTGTTTCAAGGTGATTGACTGGTTCCGTGCTGTATGTGTCATGGTTGCAGGGGCATGACACTCACTGACCCGTTCGGGAATGTGCACAGCGTGTATCCGATGCTGTACGCTTACGTGGGGGACTACCCTGAAATAAGCAAGGTCTCATGCACGCGTGAACTCGGATCCGACAAGCCATGCTCGGTGTGCTATGTCGGGAAGGAGTACCTCTGGGTCATAAAGGATGGGCTAAACGAGCGGCGCACAGTGAAGGCTCAACGAGGAATCCAGAACAATGATGAGGAGTTGAAAAAGTACTCGACACACCCAATTGACGTAAGTGCACCTAGCTCTCAGCCCCATCGAAAGTGCCACCAGCGGCCTTGCATTCGCACACAGCACCCCTTGCACCACCACCAGCGGCCTTGCATTCGCACACAGCACCCCTTGCACCACCACCAGCGGCCTTGCACTCGCACACAGCACCCCTTGCAACGCCACCAGCGGCCTTGCACTCACCCAACTTGCTTTCATTCGAACGCACAATGCTCAGGCGCCAGTGACGCAGAGAGTCGTGTAGGGTAACCCTTTATCCGTGTACGTTGCAGACATTCTTGTGGAGATTTCATCACGCGGCGACCGATTGGGGAAACACATACCAAGCCCAGATGCCAGACCTACTACACGTGCTGTATGGAGGTGTTCTTGCCCGATTTGTCCAGGTGGCTAAGGGGAGCGATTCGAACGCCGAAGCACTGGACGAGTGAGTCTTTGTTCTGTGGGATAGTCCTTGGGTTCACTGAATAAGATTCTGATGCACGGGGTCAGACGTTTATACCTATGAGTTGTGGTGGTCCTTTCGTGGCAGCCGGCTTGGGGACATCCACGACGACACCACACTTGCTGGGGTGCCGCTTCCAACGGGGCTCTACTTCTCAAAGAGTTCGTACTACTCAGCAGCCGAGCATGCTGCTATGCTAACGGTGAGTACTCCGCCTGCAGCAAACTCTCACACAGAGCACCGCGTGCAGTGCCGCCTGCAGCAAACTCTCACACAGAGCACCGCCTGCAGTGCCGCCTGCAGCAAACTCTCACACAGAGGGCCGCTTGCAGGGCCGCCTGCAGCAAAGTCCCACACAGAGCACCGCTTGCAGTGTCGCCTGCAGCAAACTCTCACACAGAGCACCGCTTGCAGTGCGACAGGGTGCATTCACACACCCACACCCCCGCTTGCAGTGCCACAGGGTGCCACTGAAGTGCCTTTTTTGTTCGATGGGTGTGGTTGAATGTGTGCCAATGCTTCTCCCACGACAGGTTCTCCCCTTTCTTTTCTAGGGGAGAATTGCGCCATCACGTCTCCATGCCGTGGTCTTCTTTGCTGACTGGCAAAAGAACCACATCCGAGCCGAATTCTACACAGAGGCGTCACTCAAGCAGATGGAGACGGATACAATAGAGTAAGTCACCCTTTTTCCCTTCGAACACAGTTCAATGCATACCGCGTGTCTTGTCCGTTGATGTGTATCGCCACCCTACACCCATACGTTCCACGCTGCCGATCCTGTTGCATGCGCAGACTGGTGCGGCTGCTGATGACTCATTTCCCCAGAGATGGTGATGGCTGGAATTTGATAAAGATTCATGGCCTGAGCCACCTCCCGGAGGCTATTCGACGGGGAGGCCACCCGCGTGAGTATTCCGCTGCCACCTTCGAGAATGCGCACATCAGTGCATGCAAGCAGCCGTACAGAGGCTCCAACAAGCGGGACTTTGAGTCCGCAATCCTGCAAGGGAGCTCAATGCGCAGTGCCCTGCAACGGCTGCCTGAAGCGTTCCCTGACGAAGCCCGGGTGTACAACACTGCTGCTAAGCGGGTATGTAATCCGGGAGTACCACAAGCATTAACGCAGTTACCGGGTACCTCAGAGTTGTATTGTGGCACGCACACCACCCGTGGCATTCACTTACTTGTGACCTGAAATTGCTATTGCAGGCCCGCACCAGTGGAAGGCCGGCACTCACGAGCAGTGCGGCGGTGATGCGTGTTGCAGCCGCCCCCGCTCCACAAGCGGGATCTGTTTTCGAGCAGTACAACAATGCCACTGGGGGCAGGCTCCGCGGGTTTCAGGCAGTCATGCGCAGCCATGGTTACTGCAGCGCGGAAACCATGGTACGAACTCGCGCGCATAGGTGCATGGGTGATGGTGGGGAGCTGACAGTAGAGTGTGGGGACAGAGCGGGTAGGTGTGGTGGGGTGGAGGACAGAGGTAATAGGGTGATTGTGGTGGTGGAGTGGGGGGCAGTGGTGGAAGGGTGAGTGTGATGGGGAACGGGACAGAGGAGGAGCACTTGAGAGAGGTGGGGTGAAGGTCAGAGGTATAAGGGTGAGCATCATGGGGTGGGGGACAGGGGTGGAAGGGTGAGTGTGGTGGAGTGGGGGACAGTAGGAGAAGGACAAGTGTGGTGGGGTGGGGGACGGAGATAGAAGGGTGAGCATCATGGGGTGGGGCATAGAGTTGGTAGGGTGAGTGTGGTGGGGTGGGGGACGGAGGTAGAAGGATGAGTGTAGTGGAGTGGCCGGGCAAAGGTGGAAGGGTGAGTGCCATGTGGTGGGAACCTGCGGGGAAGTGTGAGTGTGGTGGAGTGAGCGACAGAGGTAGAAGGGTGAGTGCAGGGGAGTGGGGGACAGAAGTGGAAGGGTGAGTGTCATAGGGTGGGGGACAGAGGTGGAATGGTGAGTGTGGTGGAGTGAGGGGCAGAGTTATAAGGGTAAGTGTGTTGGGGTGGGGGGCAGAGGTGGAAGGTTGACTGTGATGGGGTGGGGGACAGAGGTAGAAGGGTGAGTGAGGTGGGGTGGGGGACAGAGGTGGAAGGGTGAGTGAGGTGGGGTGGGGGACAGAGGTAGAAGGGTGAGTGAGGTGGGGTGGGGGACAGAGGTAGAAGGGTGAGTGAGGTGGGGTGGGAGACAGAGGTGGAAGGGTGAGTGAGGTGGGGTGGGGGACAGAGGTGGAAGGGTGAATGTGGTCGAGTGTGGGGGCAAAGCATGGAAGGGTGAGTGGGGGTTGGATGGAGGGCATGATGGGGGGGTTCTCAGATTTGAACTGGAGAGAGTGATGCGAGGTTGCACAGGCTAGAGCAGGGGGGTGTGGGCTTGACACCCTGTACTATAACCCCGCATCCCCTGTCCTCCTCCCCCCATTCCATGCTGTGTCTTTGGGAATGTCGCCCACCACAGATACACCGGGCTGTTGCCTTGCCAGCACCTGATGTGCGCACAGGCGAGGCGTCGGCCAAGTATGCACGGGCAGCACCATCGCACTACGGCACAGCTGTGTTCTCGTTCGTGGCATATGGGTCAGAGGCACGTGGGGTGAGTTATGGCCAGGTGCTTTTGCTGATGCGTGCACGCAAGGCCAGGGACGGCCCTGGCTCGCCGTTGCACGAGGTGGCTTATATAAGGCCATGGAAGGAGCTCGGCGTGGACGATGTCACAGGATGTGTGAAGCTGGAGGCAATCGGGGATCCCGAGGCATGTGTTATTGTTCCGGTAGCCCACCTTAGGCGTGTTGTGCACATCGTGAGGCCGTTTTCCCGACCAAGAACTTGGTTGTTGAACAAGTGGGCCGAGGGGCTGCGACATGGAGGTGTTTAACTGGAGCCTCTCATAAATACCATGGCATCCGGTGCGCTTGTTAATGTATGATGATTGCAGGAGTATGGACGCATTGGAGTCATGAGTGTATTTAGGTACACACAAGTGTGTTGTTTTCACAGGCTAACGTATTCCCCCAGCTACACACCGAGATATTCTCGTGTCCTCGTTGGACACTGCACACTGATGACAACCCTAATTGAACCCTACAGCTAAGGGTTCATATGGTTATTTGTTCTGTCATGTCATGTTCCCTATTTCTTTGCAAGTGGAACAATAAATTGTGCAAAACAGCTTTTTACAATGGAACTAAAACAATACTGCAGTCTAGTGCCATTTGTATCGAGAAACCCTAAACACGGCTTCGGAAATCTCGGTCGTAATCAGCGTCGGGAGAAACAAAGAAGCGCCAAAGTAAATGTCCATTCCACTCCCGCCAACGTTGGGGTAACCTCGGGGTACCCTCGCGAACTGGAAATCCTCCTGATTGGTCACCAGGTTTGTTCTGATGGCGTGCGCTAAGATTGGCGGTTGTTGCTGACGTAGCTTGTGCCGTGAGGTAACCTGAAGGGGAGACAGGGGGAACTTGTGGGTCAGCACGTGAGGGTGACCTCGGGGTCTCCCGCATTTTCAAAGTGATAGTTGCGTGTAGAATTTTGGGATGGGAAAGCCCGCATCCGCCTCCAGGTGTCGCGAATCCAATGGCTCCCGTCCATCCCGACCCGAACAAAGAGATTGCGGAAGAGAACTTGTCCCATTTCGCGGAGCCGCCGCTGATGTTATCATCAGACATAAGTGGTCACGAGAAGCAGGTTCTCTTCATAAGTACCGGTGCAGCTAACACACGCCCGGTGAGAGGCCCACGGCGTGACGAGGACGAGGACGAGGAGGAGGGGGACGAGGGGGAGGAGGAAGAAGGCGAGGAGGAGGATGAGGAGGAGGAGTTGGCTGATAAGCTGCACCTCCTCTTCGATTTTAACGACCCCAAGGAACTCGAGGAGGATAAGGAATATAAGCGGCGGTTTCTCCTCGAGCTAGTCGACTACGTCAATTGCGGAACCATGAAATTCAACGAGGCGGTATTCAAAGACATCACGCGCATGCTGGAGATTAATCTCTTCCGGCCGTTACCGCCGTCCGCGCCCGCGATGTCCGGGTCGGAACCTAAGAACCCGAAGGAAGAGGATCCGACTATGGAAGCCGCGTGGTTGCACCTGCAAATAGTCTACGAGCTGCTTAAGTATGTCGTCTTTAACGAGACCGACCAGAGGCTAAAGCTTTTCGTCGACCAGCAGTTCATCTTAAAGCTGCTGAACCTGTTCGACTCAGAGGACCCTCGCGAGCGGGACTATTTGAAGAGCATTTTACACCGGATTTACTTAAAATTCATGGATCATCGGCAGTTCATCCGCAAGGCGATTAACGACATCTTCGACCAATTCATCGAGTCGGAGCGGCACAACGGCATTGTAGAGCTGCTGGAGCCCCTAGGGAGCTTTGTCAACGGGTTCGTGCTGCCTCTTGAACAGGAGCATAAGCAGTCCCTGGAGCGAGTGCTGGTTCCGCTGCACAAGCCTAAGTGCGTATCGATGTACCACGAGCAGCTGTCGTACTGCATCACCCAGTTTGTGGAAAAAGACCCGAAGCTCGCGGATTTGGTGCTGCGCGGGTTGCTTAAGTTCTGGCCCTTAGCTAACAGCCAGAATGAGCTGCTTTTCCTGGGGGAGTTGGAGGAGATTCTGGAGCTCACTCAGGCGCCGGAGTTTGAGACAGTAATGACGCCGCTGTTCCAGCAGATTGCGCGCTGCCTCAGCTGGCACTTCCAGGTACGGTGGTACGGGGGTTGTCCGGGTGTGATGCGGTTCGTGGTATGTGATGGTGGTCGGGTTTGGGAGGGTGTGCGAGGGAGGTGTGAGGAGGTGTGAAGAGGTATGAGTGGGTGTCATGGCATGCATTTTCATACACCTCTGGTCATCATGATGGTCATGATGGCCATGATGGTCATGATGGTCCTGATGCACCTGTTCCAGCAGATTGCACGCTGTCACAGCTCCTCGCACGAAGCTCCCGCCAATTACAGGTACGGTGTGATGCGGTGTAATATGGTGCGGTGGGGTGCGATGCATCCTTGCTGAAGAGAGGTCGAGGCACTGGTGTTCCGGCACAGGATACGGGTTATGACAGGGATAAAAGGGGCGTGATACGGTGATGGGGTGTGAGGAGGTGTGACGGGGTGTGATGGGGTGGGGCACTTCGCGCTAGCTTCCTTCCAAGCTCCAGACATGCGCTCCCTGGAGCATGGTGCTCGCATGATGCCTACAACGCTTTCGCCAGTATGTTTCTGAGATTCACAAGCTTCTATGATTCGGCTTTGATTCTTCAATACGCTAGTATTGTATGGCATTCCAAGTTTTGAGGGGGGGTGGGAGACGAAAAGAGAGGTAGGGGGGTAAGCATTCTCAGAAAAAAACGGATTGCGGCCAGAGCTGGGATAAAGATAGTAAGGATCGTCTTTCTTTGCTGTCTTTAATGGGTGCGACATTAGGGTTTGGCCGATGCGAGTGTGACGTGTCATGTGATGCCACCGGTGGACCCTACCTTTGGCCCACTTATGCCACATTTCTCATCCCATGCCCCATATATGCACCCCGTCACCCCTCCACCTCCCCCTCCTCCGCCTCATTCCCCTTTCCCCAATGCGGGTGTTGGATGGAGAGAACGATGTGCCTGTGTAACAACGGCTGCACCATGACGTTTGTGGTGCACAACTGTTGTGTCTCTCCCTCCTTCCTCCCCTCACTCCTCCCCCTCCACCCCCCAAACCCCATTTCCCTCCTGCCTTCAGGTGGCAGAGCGCACACTGCGCCTGTGAGACAACGACTACATTGTGGCGCTCGTGGCTCAGAACCGCACCACCATCCTGCCGCTCATCTTTGCTGCTCTCGAGCGCAACGCTGAAAGCCACCAGAACCAGGTATAGTGTGGGCATTGAGCCCTGTGTAGTGCGTGGATTGCTTCTAAAGTGTGGCTGTGGCTAGACATGAGACGAAATCCGAACCGCGGCTGGTTCGGTTCGCTTATAGGTGAACCGAACCGTGATTTTGGGGCCGCGGTTCTTGAACGGGCCGAACCAATTCGTAACGAACCGGTTCGCCGGATTGTTATGGTACGCGACCATCCCGAGTCGCGCCGAACCGAATTGGTTCGTCATGGTAGGGGATCGTAAACGAACCCCCCCGGTTCGTTTCAGGGCCTCGCATGACTTGAGTCGCATGGGGTCGTTTTCCCAGCTCGAAGTCTTGAGCTCCAACTCTTTCCTAGTCTAGATTGTCACCTCTCACTTAGTTTCCCAGCATTCCCACAGCTATTTTCTAAGCAGCAAGTAGCAGGTGTTTTACTTACGTTATTTAGTGAGAATTACGCTGAATATGGCCGCTTTTCTTTGTACGTTTAGTATTTAGAGTGATGTCTCACCTTAAGTCCATGGTTTATAGGATTAAGGTTGATTTCACAAACATGACCAGAAATTGGTTTGTTTAGTAAACCTCGTCCACGTTCCACTATCCCCATATACAGGGCAACATTCAAGCCAACGTACACACGTGAATTAGATTGGGGCGTTCAGTTCAGAGTGATTATTGAGGAGGTTTCTTGCTGGAATGGAGGCCGCCGGTGATGTTCGGGGTGGGAATAGGAGTTACGAACAAATCAGCCATTAACGTATAGCGAACCGAACCGGTTCGATTTGGTACCAAATTGGGCCGGTTCGTTAGATGAAACAACGAACCACGAACCAAGGTAAGGTGCCAGAATCCGGTTCGTAATCGAAAAGGTTCGGTTCGGTTTCAAACCGGCCCGGTTTGCTAATGCATATTACCAAACCGAACCAGTTCAGTACTATGCTCTTGTTTGGCTGTGGCTGTAGCACTGTCTGCCTATGGCCGTAGCAGGGACAGAAGCCACTGGAACCAGGTAGATTGTGGCCAGTGGTTGTAGTGCTGATTGTTTCTGAATCGAAACGAGTGGTGGTCTGAGAGGGAAATTGCAGGTGCAGTGTGTATAGGCTGTTTGCACAGGCTGTCTGTAGCACACGCTGTAACCACTGGAATCATGTCGCATTGATCCCGTTCTAGTGACCAGTTTTCCTCTGAAACACGCAACGGCGCAAGTGATTCACGGCACAATGTTTCTTGCAGCCGCAGGTACGGGATGAGTTGGGCCATGGCTAATGCACAGAATGAAGCCACTGGAACCAGACAGGGCGGCAGTTGCTGTAGGCATGAGCAGAGGAGTCAAGTCTTGATACCACACTGACTCTCCTACTCGATTCGACTTGACATGTTGGGGTTTATGCATTGCTGTATCGTCAGTCGAGGGCAAGTCAGTGAGTTGCTTGACTTTTTTTTAGCTGTGATGACTTGAGCTGGCAAGCGAAACTGGCCCCAATAGCTCGATTAGTTTCCTGCGTTTAATTCCCAGGGGGAATCTTTCCCAAGTTGTCCTCAATAATACGCCCAACCATAACCCGTTATTTGCCACTAACCTAACTCCTCATATCGGGTGTGGGTGTTTTTGTTTTGTTTTTGTTTCCCGGCTGAGAAAGCCTCCACCTGGCCGGCTAGATTACGGGACCTAAACGCCATTGCCCACCTAAGGTTCCTTCATTTCCTCAACCTCCTTGTGCAATTTTAGCTTCATCCCCTGAGGTTACTGGGGCTTCCTTGGCCTGTGCCTGCGACGTTCTTCATTACTTCATCATCTTGCCACCACTGTGGCTGTTAACGTGTAAGGTCATTTTGACCTTGTGCATGCGTGTCCTTGTCAACTTAACCCCCTCCCATAGCACCTCCGTATGCTTCTCCTACATATCCCTACTTCTTCTCCCTCTTCCCTCCCGAATCCCCGCCTCTTCTCCGTCCGTCCTCCCCCGCTCTCCTCACCCTCCCCTCTCCTCCCCTCTCTATCCTCTCCTCCTCCTCCTCCTTTCACACTCCTCTCTCCTCTCCCTCCTCTCCCCCTCCTCTCCTCCACCACTCTCCTTCATCTTCCCCTCCCTCCCATCCCCGCGATGCGCATACTATGAATGAAGAGAGATGTTTCTGGACATGGACAAGTGGCCAGAGATGCTTATGATGAATGCCAGCAACAAATCCTCCCCTGGCCAATGCATGAGTGCTGTGGTGCCTTTGACACGCCTTAAAAATCGCTGCATGCATGATGCTCTCCCTCCTCTCCCCTTACCCACTCCCCCTCCTCCGCTCTCCTCCACATTTCCACGTCTCTCCTCTCTCCAAGACTACTTTCCCCCCTCACTCTCCCCGTTCCACCCACCCTCCGCACTCGTTTCTGCCCAGGTAGTGAAAGATCTGTCCATCAAAGTTCGTAAGATGTTTCTCGAGATGGACGAGATGGACACGATGGCCGCAATGGCCGCGATGGCCGAGGAGGACGAGAAGGGCGAGGAGGACGAGAGCGAGGAGGGCGAGGAGGATGAGGAGGGCGAGGAGCTCTACGTCGATAATCAGCGCCAGTTCCTAAAAGAAGAGGGTGCGAGAGATTTAATTCATCATTAAGCTCGAATGAGCTGAGGTATTCATAGGTAGTGAGAGAAGATGTGGGTTGGCATGTTCAACAATAACAAGAGGCCCCAATAATGGTTGGTTAAGTTGGCCGACATTATTGCGGTTCCAATAGTCGTTCGCTGGGTGTTGACCAATATTATTGGACGTCCAATAAGTGTTGGGAAACCCAACACAAGCGCAAATTGTGTTTGGAAGGTAAACCCAACAACCCATTAGCAACCGTACCTCACAACCTATCTAGCCAATGTATGTTCTATAACAAATGTTACTACAGAGGGGCAGAAAGCTGACGTGGAGGAACTACGCGCCGCCACGTGGCAGCGGCTGGAAGAAGAAGCTGGCGATTAGAAATACTGCACAGTTACCAGGAAAGGCGGAGGCTCGTTGCTTGACCCAAGAAGGGTACGGGTCCGGTCTGCTAGTCCGACCCGACCGAGTTGTTGCTTGATCCAGGACGGGTACGGGTCCGGTCGGCTCGGGTCGGCTCGTCCGACCCGACCCGTTGCTTGAACCAAGACGAGTACGGGTCCGGTCTGATCGACCCGCCCTCGGGGAAGGACCCCGGAAAAGCTGGCCCGACCTCGGGGTAGGTAGGACCCCTGGAAAGCTGACCCGACCTCGGGGCAGGACCCCCGGAAAAGCCGTGACTTGAGGGGGGGTTGGGTCGACCCGGTGACAAATTGGGTCGATCAACCCGCCTTATTCAATCATTTGGTGGCCAATCTCTTCGGATAGTAGCATTTCAATAGCTGATTTCCGCAGATTATCAACATAATCCCAATGTGATAACATGATCCCAATGTGGCAACATAATCCCAATGTGGCAACATGATCCCAATGTGGCAACATGATCCCAATGTGGCAACATGATCCCAATGTGGCAACATGATCCCAATGTGGCAACATGATCCCAATGTGGCAACATGATCCCAATGTGGCAACATGATCCCAATGTGGCAACATGATCCCAATGTGGCAACATGATCCCAATGTGGCAACATGATCCCAATGTGGCAACAAAATTTCCCTAAAAAATGGTGGCTGGTGGTCCTTCCTGGCCCCTTCACTAACTAGAATAAGTGGGATGGGTATTTCCAAGCCCCTTACCTGCTCTATGTCTTTAGTCTCTCTCTTCCCCACTGTTGTGTTCCTTTACAGAATCTCGTTGTGAGGAGGAAGATTCAGCAGCAGCAGAAGGTACGGCAGCAGCTGCTTCAGCGGTTGCAGCAGCAGCAGCAGCAGCAAAAGGTGCGGCAGTAGCTGCTGCAGCGGCACCACCATCAGCAGCAGAAGGTGCGGCAGCAGCAGCAGCAACACCACCATCAGCAGCAGCAGAAGAGGCGGCAGCAGGTGCTGCAGCAGTAGCACGAAGGGGGCAGCGTGCTGGTTTTGTGGTAGAGATGGGTGTAGCGCAGCCATATGTGTGTCGAGAATATTCCCTGGCGGAACTCACCCAGGCCACGGGAGAGTGGGCAGAGGAGTACAGGATAGGAAATGGCGCCTTTGGAGTTGTCTACAAGGGAGTGTCTCCCCATGATCGCAAACAAGCTTGGGCAGTCAAACGAGCTCAAGTTCTCACAAATGACTTCCAGAGAGAGGTAAGTCGGCTTTGAGAATCCTAAAAAACGACCAGCACAATCGAATTCAAGAGTGAGGTATCACGTTGTGAGTTCTGGTTTGTTGGTACCACGTCCCTTGCTGGATTCTTGTGCCAAGTCCCATCACTTGATTGTTCATTGGATTGTTCTTTCTCCTTTCATCTGCTCACCATCATTTCTCCCCCCTCAGGTGAAATGGATGGCAAGAAAGAGCCATCCGCATCTTGTGCGTCTGTTGGGCTATTGCATCGACTTTGACCCGTCCACACGAACCATGGAGCAGCTTCTTGTCTATGAGCTCATGCCCAACGGCGACCTTTACAGCTGGATTGGTCCCGGTGTCTCCACCCCTCTTTCGCTGCGGCAAAGGCTGGATGTTCTTATTGGAGCTGCAAAGGGGTTGCAGTATCTTCACGACTTTAACATTGTGCATCGCGACATCAAACCGGCCAATATTCTCCTCGATATAAGAATGCAGGCATGCACAAAATATCAAAGCTGGGTTGCATGTGGAAGGAGATGCTTTGTTCATCCGTTTTGTTCATCCGTTTTGATCATCAGTTTTGTTCATCCGTTTTGTTCATCTTTCTCAACCATCATGTGATGTTTTGAGCAGCCGAAGATAGAGTCATGTCACCTAATCCCATGTTGCGTGATCATGCTGTTGTGGATGATGCTTGGCAGGCAAAGATTGCCGACTTTGGGGTTGTGAAGCTGTGTGGTTTCGAGGCGCCTCAAAGCTAGATTCATGTTGCATGATGATGCGGTTGTCGTGGTTGATGATAAGCAGGCAAAGGTTGCAGACTTTGGGCTTGTGAAGCTGCTTGGAGGGACATCTGTGGCCACATCTGAGGCTGCCACCCGACTGGTGGGAACACTGGGCTATATGGACCCTGAGTACTGCAGCTCACACAAGCCTTCTCCTGCTGTCGATGTGTACAGGTGAGTAGATTGGCACAGCACAGGTAAGCACATTGGTGTTGTCAGAATCCCAACCACTAGACCACTGGGATAAAAGGGCTTGTTAAGTAGCGGGTCAGTGCGCCCATAACCCCCCAGGCCAACATGCATGTAACCCTTCCCTAGGATCAATCGGGGATCACCAGTGGACCTCTGACACCCTCCCGCACTGGGATGCCCGAAGTGCACACACTAGGATTCGAACCCGAGACCTTCGCTCTGATACCATGTCAGAATCCCAACCACTAGACCATTGGGATAAAAGGGCTTGTTAAGTAGCGGGTCAGTGCGCCCATAACCCCCCAGGCCAACATGCCTGTAACCCTTCCCTAGGATCAATCGGGGATCACCAGCGGACCTCTGACAGGTGTAGGTCAGGAGATTGGTACAGGTGAGCAGATTGGGGCGAAATTACCATCCAACAGGCGTCTTATGTGTGTGAGAAAGAACTCTCTGGGATTTTTTTTCTTTCACCGTGCTTTTTTGCCCCGTTTCATAGTGGCTTTTCACGGCTGCCTTGCCATGCCCGACCAATCAATGGCTCTGAAATTCTCGGCCACTGAACGATGGGGGTTTGGGACACAAGTGGTTGTGAAGATGGTCATGTCAATGATGGTGGTTTCTTCTCTGAGACTGTCCAATGCATCTCCTAGAGGTGTCACACGTGAGCATCATTTCAAGATGATGTCCTTTCTGGGTGCCTTGATTGCAGTTTTGGCTTGGTGATGCTGGTGGTTCTCACGGGGCGCGAGGCTGTGCTCCTTGTGGAGGGCGAACACGTCAATATCAAGAGATGGGTGAGGCATACCTCACAACGGTATACAAAGCCTAGAAAACGTCCAAATGGGGCACTAACACCAAAGTCCAAGTGCACTTCCGCAACTTGTTATCCTCTCTTCCTTTCTCCACAGGACACATGCCGTATTGAGCAAGGTGAGTATTACGATGATATCTTGTTTCACCCTGCACCTGTCACACACTCAGCTATCCTATCCTACTGCTGTCTACCTTGTTGCTCCTCTCCCTAGCGTAGGCTCTTTCAAACCGCACACCCTTATTTCAAACTACTCACACCATCCCATGCGTCTACAGCCTCCTCGTTAATACACCGTTTTTCTGCCACCTATACTCTTATTCTAGTGTATTGACAGATTTGCACTTCATGCAACACTCCTGCTTTTAGAAAGCCTTTTGCGTATGCCAAATTTTTTCATCCTCGCAGGTAGCCCCACTGGTGATCTCTGGAGCAGTGGCAGAATTCAAGGACCCTCGTTTAGAAGCACCGGATGAATTGGTGCTACGCTTGGCTCGCCTTGCCCTCTCCTGCACTGCCCTGCCTGGGGCCTCCCGTCCCTACATGCTCCAAGTGCTGGCCGAGCTTGTGAGGATAAAGCTGGAGATGTTTGGGGTGTAGGTGAGCGCGGAGGTTTCTGGCATCGACCCGGAAATTGGAGGCTCCGATGGGTCCTTTGACTTCAGTGCTGAAATAGCCCGTGCGATGCGATAGGCTGTTAGTGGCTCCTCAACTATTGTGCCATAGGATAGGTGTAGAACATACACCGCCTTAGGTTAGGAATAGAAGATGCACCACTTCTGAGGCGCCTCAAGAGACTGCTGTTAGCATGCTATGGGTACGACTGAATCATACAGACACTGGATTCTAGGAAATGTGAACTATTGCTGTAAATGTATTTTCCTATAAAGGTGTATGAAGAGATACAGTTGAGTTGACCATCTGAGCTACTTAAGGATGGTACTTGTTCACTAATGATTTATATTTAAAACATTTCAACAACAAACAGTGCCAAATTTTTTACCCCGCCACCAACAGACTGAATTATTTTCCCCCAGAAATGTTAGGCACCCAGTCAGGCACCCTGATTTCCCAGGGTAACCAAAAAATAACCTTGGGCCCTGCTTCTGCCATTGCACTAGGCAGTTTGGTCTTGTTTGAACCGATGCAAGAAGTCCACTCTAGCCTTCAGCTCCTGCAGCAGCATGGACTCTGCTCCCTCAACCCATGACCCCGACCACCGGAAGAGTGCCTGAGGTGGGGGAGAATGGCAGTGAAGTGAAGTCACATGTTTTTTTAGGCGCCTAAAACAACGCAATAGCATGGACTCTGCTCCCTCGCTCCACGACCCTGACCACTGGAAGAGGGCCTGGGGTGGGGCGGAATGGCAATGGAGTCACACACACGGCACCGTGAGCTGGCTAAACGACGAGATGTGAATATTTACAATCCAGATTACCATTAATGAATCACGTGTTATAGTCTAGAGTCCATTTAGGGGTCGTAGATGCCCTTGAAACCACCTAAGCAGAATCTGATGACTTCGAACCGCCTCTGTTCAAAACGCCGTCACGAATCAGCTCCGATAACAAACGAGGCTGAAACTTGGACTGACGTTAGCTTCAGGTGTCTGCTTTCCA